AGAATTGCTGAATCTCTGCCTTACAGCTGGGCATTACCCACAAGTAGTCTGTTGTCTCAAACCCTACCTTTGAATTGGTTACATAGCTCCTGCTGACCCAATGATCTTGTAATAAACAGAGTATCTTTAAACTATTAAATATTTGCTTTTGATCTAGTAGTTGAATCAGCATTATATCAAACAGTTGAAATCTTTCCCAGACTGATTTTATCACTAGTCTGACCACAAAGGGGCACTGATACGCTTGAACTGACTTTTACTTTGTATGGAAATTTGTGCCAGCCTGTTCCCTAACTTCTCTCCAGGGCCTAAATACCCTGTTCTGGGCAGCCGTGAAACATGTATCTCCAAGTGGGACATAAATCTTTGAATCTTGCAAGACAGTTAAAGTTTGCCTGCATATTTTATCACTCTTATTTATTCATAAAATAAATTATATCAAGCAGACAGAAAGCATTCCGTCCTTCTCTAATAACAGTAGCTGAATATATACGAAGTTGCACAGAGTTCAAGGGTGTAAAACTCAAGAGAGGGACCTTGTATCATATTTTCAGTATATAGGCAAATACGGAATAGAAGAGGAGTAAACATTTAAAAGATATATGTACACATTCAAAATAAATAAGATCAAGTTCCTTTCGTTATCAGCATTTGGGTTTGCTTCTGTTTAATTTAACAGAAACATATCACTCTGTTCTAAAAGAAAATTCCCAATTTTCTATTTTTAAAAGGAATGTATTCAGATACCCTTTTTATCAGAAAGAAAATTAACCTCAACTGGTCCATAATGCCCTAAACAAAAAATTGACTTGGTCTTCCTTAATGACCAAGAGCAACCACATGGTAACAATGTGCAGTATTGTTTATGTCTCACATAAATAAGACATTATTTGTAAATCATTTCAAAAATAAAATTGGAAGACAAAATACTCATCTTCAACACCACAGAATAATCTGTTCGGATAATGCATCAAAGCAAAACATCTCATCAGATACCAGCCCTCTCAAACAGACAGCAGAATTTAAATATGAAAAGTATTTTGAAGTATAGTGAGACACTGTTGAGAAATCTCCATTTGAAGACATTTCTGAATTTTAAGGTCCTTTTAATCCATTTCATACTCACAGTATTTCCATTCAATTCCTGCTTCTACTACGCTATAAACCAAATTCAAGAGATATGAAATGTAGGTGCTAATATACCAGGATTTCATCCTTTTAAAGAAGTGGTTTCCTCCAGGTGAAGCTATTACCTGAGAGAGTTCAATGAGGAACTCACACAAGCTTCTTGCCACTAATTCCTTCCACAATAAAGTCACTTTATAAATTCTGCATTATGGATTGGAAATGCTGAGGTAAAGCTACAAATGCAACTGTATTATTTATAACCACAGACAGCTGTAACAGAGACCATGAGAAATAAACCAGACAAACTAAGCAATGTTTAAGATTTAATCTCTAAATTTATATTGAGCCGAGTCATTAGACCTACTCACATATATGAAACACTTGCAATGCCTGTTGATCAATGCTTAATAGGATTACTTTAATGCAAAGACTCACTAAAATGATTAAACTAAGTTTTATTTGATGTCTGGTGCTTTCTGGGATTCTCTAATTAAATACTTGTTGCACATTGGCACAAACCTACTGATTTAATAGTGATTATCTTAATTTATGTTAACTTAGTATGCTCCACATTGTCACTTAGGCATGCTAACAGTTGTATGACATGATATTCCAACATGATTCTGCTATAAAACCTTAGACTTTGACAAAAAATTTGTTATAAAATGTTGAGGGTGCATGAAAGGCTAAGGCATAAATAAAGATGGTCATTCACTACTGAATCAAATAGTTTGTTTTATATCTAAATCATGCTTTTGTGATACTGCAAAAAACAAAACTATAGATACCTGTAATTAAGTTCGGTGGTCTGTAATTTTTTCCCCTCAGGAGACCAGAAGTAGGCATGTTAGAAAGGTATTATGATAAAATTCATCATAATGAAACAATGCACAGCCAAGAACTAAACTTTAGAAACTCATATCATGAGTGATGAGAGAGTAAAAATAAAATAATCAGAACTGGTTGAAATATGCAACCCTTCCACTTGTAGAATGTCACTTCAAATCCAGGTCTAATGGCCACAGAAATGCCATCATCTGGAGCTGGTTGGAAACTTTCACTTTAGGGGAAATAATTTCCTTTTTATTTTTTTTATAAATTAGTTTCTCATGGAATTGAATAGGTACTCTTCTCTTGAAACAAAATCTATGATCTTTGTTTAGGAAGCATTGAAATGAAATCTGTTTTCAGAATTCCTCAAAGCTTATTAGCAAAATTAATAAATTTTTGGTCAACTTGGCCATTTCCACTCAGCATACAAAAAAGTTGACAAGAATTGAATTGTTTTCAGATATAACTGCTCATAATGTCCCTGCCATTATGACCAAAGAATACCAGGCATTTGGAAATTCTGATTTGGTGCTGCCAGGCCAGACTTAGTGCTGGAGACTGAAGGCTCTCGAGGTCTACTACAGAATCAACCTTTTGCAAAACCCAAAGCTTTCAAGGTCTGGAAATCCTAGAGTCTGTAGTGCTTTTCAGATCCTGCATCAAGGAGACAGGATTGCGGAGAGCTTTGGCATTAAGGGCTGCCTCTCCCATAGCACTTTGGTCTCTGGTAACCACTCTTTGTGCCAATCTTCTGAAAACACAGACTACCAGGGAATGCTGCACAGTTGAGGTTTTGGGCTGTGTAAAACCTTCCAAGACATTTGACAGTGTTTCATTGGAACTTTCCATTTTTGCAAAATACATAGGTTTTGACCAAAAAAAGCACTTTCAGTGATTTTTATAAAAGATGCTTGGGTGAAAAGTTAGCAGTCAGCTCTACTCAGATGGTAGGTCTCATGATCATTCTTTCCTCCCTCGCCTTGTCTTTACAACAGCTGTCAAAATGCTTGGTTTGCAAAACAGCTTCTCATAAACTCTTCAGTGTTTCACAAATCTTTGAACGATGGTGATGATAGTGCACACACTTTGGAAACCTCGGTTTTGGTTTCTGAAATGAGTGTCACTTATAAGAAAGGATATATAATTAGATGCTGGGTCCATACTACACAAGTCAAATATTTGTTAGCACTGCACTCGAAGGAAGGAATGTTGCCAGCATATACTGCCAGATAGATAAACTACATTTGAGCACTGCTTTGAGCAAAAAAAAAAATATCCTGCCTGAAAGAAGAGGCTAATCTTTCCTGTGTCAGAAATATAAAACATACCTGAGAACCAATGATAAGCTGAATAAGGTGGCAATCATTCAATTAAGAAATTACAGACTTGCAGGAATTACATTACTAAATCTCTCAGTACTCCATTAGTTTCTTTCAATTTAAAAATAAGGGAGAGGTGGTAATGACAACACACAGAACTAAAAGTGCCTACTTCTGATATCAAGTTATGCACATTTTCCATTCCTTTTCTCGTTGGTAGCTATAAATTTTGTTTACCTTTTTAAAAGATGCTGTATTATCTAACATAACCAGGAAAAGGCTTTTGTTAAAAACACTGCTATCTGAGTATTCTCTTAAGGAAAGTAGCTGCTGTGAGAGTACTTGTTAGATGAAAGGTTTAAGCAATTTGGGTTGAAAATAGAAACATATATACAAAAAGAATCCCCCAAAGATATGCAACAGGCAGGGTTTTTTAAACAATTATCTCTTTTCTGTCACATTAGTTAGAAATTGATCTGCAATTACTAAAACGTAAGTCAATATAATTAAGTTTTTAGCCTTCTTTTTGTCTGTTTGTATCTGTTTCGATTTCCAGCCTACCTAGTCAGATCTACCTGGCATTTGAGAACTGTTTCATTTCCTATCACAAGCTTTGTTTTTCAAATCAACTTCATTTCTCTCTTCAGAAGTGGTTTATCATCAGGGACTTAGTAGAAAATTTTTCTGGATGGGAAATGTGAAGGAATTCCATGTGCTATCATTTCTCTGAACTGCTGCTACCCGTGCAAGGCTGACAAAACCAAGATGTCTTTTGCCATAGAAACACTACTGTGTATGCATATGCTAGTCATAAGTAATAGTTTCTACATGTTTTTCAAGGGCTCTCACACTGAAATTTATTTTAAATCAAAACTTGCCCAGTTCTAGATTGACTCAAACTTCAAAGATGCAACAAAACTCCAGGATGAGAGCATTTTAAAATAAAAATTAGAAGAGAAACGATCCATTCCAAAGAAAACAGAACCCACATATGTTTAACAAACCCTTTACCTTCCCTGTATTGACAGTCTGTGTAGCATTATGTTGATTTATCCTAGAAAAGAGACGAGTGCAGATAACATACATCTGACATTCAGGATGCAAGGTCACCCTGCATTTTAGATTCCATTAACTAATTTTAATGTATGAGTGATTAATTTGCCCATGAGTGTAACAGTTACAACAGATGCAGCTGAATTGACTGTGTTACTTCATAATTGCAGTCTCCACATTGGTATAAGCATCATTCTCAACTAGGAGTTAGTGGCTCAATGTAAAAATTACTGGGTGAACTTTGTTATCCAGAAGCAAAATGTGAAAAGATTTTTTTCAGGCTTAAAAATAGGCAGATGAACCAATAACAAAAAGCTGAAGATAAAAAATTCTAGAACAAAAAACTATTATTTGTGCATTTATATTGTATGTGTGATGAAAGAGAGTCTTTAGTCAAATCTTCTGCTGCTGCAAATTAACTAACTTAAATGTAAGAATAAAATCACTGAGACTCATTAACAACAGCAAAAACAAAGCCGTTTTCAACAGGCAGATATTTCTTTAATTGTGCTGGTAACTTTACACGGCCATTCTGGACATCTGACACTTGAGAATAATTAAATTCAAAAGCACCATACCTTCCGAAGAGGTTTGAGCTTGGTCTCCATTATGAAGTCATACTTGCAGAGTTCACAACAGCGCGTGTCCGAGCTCTTAATCCACTGGTGCAGACAGGCCTGATGAACAAAGCGCAGGGTCCCTGTGCAGCGACATGGTGTGATGAGGGGACTTTCATCATCGCCCTCACAGTGACAGATCCTGACAGGAAGGACAGCAAGAGTGAGTGAGGGAACTCGCCAACCAGCAATGCAAAGGCCTTGGTTTATTTACACTGCTTTCTCATCTTCAGACTTGACATTCAAAAGATGCCAGGTGTATGACCTTTCAGATTGAGGACCAGGAACATATTCCTTGTTCCTTTCTGCCATTTCGTAATTTCTCTTCACTTAGTTATTTCTCTTTGAATTTGCTATGGTCTGAAGGTGAATCAATAGAAATAACACTGTTTTTCCCTTTTACGCATGGCAAAACCTTTGAGACAAATACCAGAGCCCTTTCTAAGAGCAGAATAGTTCTTGGTCTGTAAAGCAATGCCAATCAAATCCTCGAAGGTAGACAAATCTAATCCAAACTGAAAATATCAAGCATGATAAGTACAAGAAGTTCCTAGGAGACCTCTTTGGAGTTACACAGAGGAGTTAAAAGAATCAGAGAGCAGTGTTAAGTACTCTGGAGTCATGCATATGACACAGTGTATACACACATGCACACACTTTTTAGGAGGCAGGTGTTAAAAAGTCACAGTTGTTTTTTTCATTCTTCACTGTCCCTTTGAAGCACACAGCTGTACTATCTGGAAAACAAAAACTACAGCTGTAAGCAGACCCTAAGATAGAGGTTGGTCCCAGAACAGTTTTACCTTATGATGGGATACAGAGCTTTTCACGATGTGGTTTTCATGTTGCATAAAGTAGTCAGTGTTCTAACATCATAATCTGATGTTTTTCTTCTCTGACACCTGTCCAAATGTCCTGCTGATCTTATTCTCTTTCCAAACAGTCTCCTGATCATATCAGGAAAATATTCACCCATTGAAACCAATGGGAGCTTTACAGGTAAGCATCTCTGTGAAGGCAGAGAAAGCTCTACAGTGAGCAGAAGGCTTAACCAAACACCTGAAATTAAGGAGGTTTACTTCAACAAAGAGTAACTCCCTCCCATCCCCAACCCAGAAAAACACATCAAAGCACCAAAGCACCCAAGCCCTAATCAGTGCCTGAAGTGTTAAACTAGCATGCAAGAGAAAAAATAAAAAAAAAGCTGAAGCCTGAGTTCTTTCAAAATAGAGAAGTAGCAGTAACAGCACAGATCCTGGTATCACACAAATGAAACTTAGACCTTAGACACTTAGGAATGGTTCCCTCAGACAAGACACAGGCAGAAGTGCCTGAACATGTCTGAGGAATAACTCATCCTTTTACAGAGAAAACTGTGACTGCACCACTCCTAGGGAAAGAAAAGGGGTAGGAGAGCCCTGTGATGAGATTGTCTTACTACTGGTCAGGTTAGGGAAGACAGGTGACCTTCTTTCTAGCACAGGAGCTCCTGGTGTATGTCAGGAGGCAGCCTGGCAAAGAGCTCCTGGAAAGCTCTGAGGCTGCCAAGTCTACAAGCAGGGGAGAAGGAAATTCCAGTGTCTACATGAAAGATCTATGAATCAAAACTGGGAGCTTCACTATTCTTCCATGGTGTAGCTCTAAGCCATGAGAAAATGAATCTATGATAACATGAAAGCAGAACAAAGCTGCTTTGCTGGATATGTAAAGAGAACAAAAAAATCCAAAAAAAAAATGAAGCTTTGGAAACCTGGTCCACTAAAGCCACGTTTCAGTGTCTGCAATGGTGCTTGTAGAGGATTTCATACCCCATGGTAATGGAGGGGAGAAGAAAAATACCCACAATTTTCTTCTTACACACGCTCATTTTTTGAGACAAATTTTACAAGAACTCAATTTACAGTCTTTACTAATCCAGCCAAGCTACATGCATCAGTAGCTTAGTTCTCCTATATGGAGATTTCTTATTGAGCCTCTAGCTTAAGCAGAACTGAATTTTCAAAGCACCAAATAGTTATTTTTCTAACAAATGCATTCCCAGCTGAGAGTTACACAGAAAACATTACTTTCTTTTTAAATTAAAGCTATTCCCCAAAGGAAAACCAGTATTCCTTGTTCATTTAAATTCAAGCTATACATAATTTATTTTACAGCCTTAGCATTTAAACTATTTAGAAATTAGACAACTAAGCTATGTACCCAAAAGCCTTTATTTCTACTACTGCCAAGATTGTTTAAAACTATTTTCAGAGCTAAAAATACAAGCCTAAAACTCCACTGGGATCTTCAATAAAGTGACACTGCAAATTTGAAACTAATAGAAGTAATCTTTAGTCCAAATACTTCCACAGAAAAACGCTACGTTCCATTTATGCTTTCCTTGGACAGAGGTTAAAAGCCAAATGTATAAATAACAGGGTGACACTAAGAACTTACATTATACCGAAGCTTAGACTAAATAATCTAATGGCCTCTTCTAGCTTTTTAACTATGAAATATGTAACTGGAATTAAAACAAACTTCAACAGGAATGAAAGTCCAGAGAAAATGACCAAAGGCATGTCTTTCATTAACTTGAATGCTCTTTTGTCTCTTTGGTGCAATTTAGCTCTTTATTATTTGTTTAACCAGAAGAAATTAGCTTAAAAGAAATTTGTGCTACCTAAACTTAGAATGACAGTCTAAAAACATATGGGCTTCTGACAGCTATGGTAACAGAGTCTTGGCTAAATGTTTAAACATCTTCTAAAGCCTTTGACCAGATAACTTGCACTTTCTGCCTCAGCCATTAGTACCACATCACAATTTTGTGTGTCTTTGCCCTTTGCTGTATTCATCTATAATATACATCATAAATATCACAAATTATAGAAAATAAATTGTAAATAATGGTTTTGAGAAATTTGCTGTGCAAGCAGAATGGAGGTAGGGATACAAAGCACATATCTAAACCAAGTAGGAGGCAGAGAACTTCCATTCTGGTTTCCAATTGTCAAATGATCATAACTGTTTGAGACTTTAATGCATCAGATTGACTATTTACAGGGCTGAACTTATTCTGCAAGTAAAATTTGCTTGCATACTTTAGAAAATAGTTGAATGGAAAAAGCATAAAACACTCTCTACAATAGAGAAAAAATATATAATTTGCTAAATCTATACTGATTTATTTACAAGTTCTAGTACAGCACTGATCATGCTTAAAGCTGCAGTTTCATTTGCTCAGACACACCTACAGACTGTACATACTCAGCTTGTCTCAAATTTCTAGTCCTTTAGTAGATAAATGGCCTTCATTATAAACCAGTACTTTTGACCATCTGGAAATGGAGGGGAAGGAAATCAGCTATTTGACCTTTCAGTTTAAAGTCCTTTATATTCACAAATTGAGCCTCAGCCTGCATAAATTTTTTTATTTTTTTTTTAGGTTTGACAGCTTAATGCTTTAAAGATTCCTCTCTATGAACATCCTTGCTTTTCCAGAGGAAAAGATGAGCACAAGTCTCCAAAGGAGCTTTTGCTCTATAAATCACGTGTACACCAGACAACACAGGATATATGATCCATTAGCTGATCTTCCAACTCAGATAAACAAAATTTTATGTGTGTATGTGTATAATATACACCTACAGACATATCCCCATACACTGAGATCACAGAATATCTATATTTCTTTAAATAAAGTTTACTGTGAATCTTTATGAAATAATACTCTAACAGTGCTGTCATCCTTATGTTTAAGTTTTTGCTTTATATGCCAGTATTTTAATTACCCAGCACAGATTTTTCTAGCAGAGAATTGTTTCTACAACCTTCAGCACACAGATGTACCAAACAGAGAAATTAGTGCCAACAGTGTGCATATATCAGACGAAAAAAAATCCACAAAAATTCTTTAAAGGATGTTCTTAAGCAGCAGGTTCACAGACATCGCAACAAATTAAGAAAAATATTTTTCAGGAAAAAAAAATAAAAATTGCTAAAACCGAAAACACGTTTCAGTGTTTTATGAATTTATATAATTCATATAAAAACTGCTGCAGAGCTCTTGTATGTTCCCTACAAAACAACCCCTCCCAACCAAAACAACACCTCAAACAGAAACAGAATAGTTCAAATACTTCAATTTAGAAAACTTTTAGAGAACAATGTATGTAAAAATAGAAAGTTAAAGAAGTTTACTGTGAACATTTTAGAATAATTTTTCAGTAATTATTTTTGTTCAAAATATAACTGAATTTAAAGCACCTTCAAATGATGCTGAAAAACTTACTGTAAATGCAATGCTTGATTGAGAAACTGTTTATGACATATTAAACTTTGTACCCTAATGACCACGCAAATTAGTAAGTAAAATTGCCAGTAGTTTAAGGCATAGCATCTCTTTCACTAAATGGCATATTGCCACCACACATATATAAACAAAAGGAATTTCTTGTCTCATTAAAACAATGAGATGCAGATAAATAAAGCCCTCAGAAGTGAGACATCTTCAGAATGTGGTATTGTCATACTGTCTTTAATTCTATGACTATGAACTGTCTTCCCATGTTTCCCATGGCCCTGTTCATTGTAAAAGATAGGCAGAAAGGTAAGTATGAAACAAGTCTGAAGTTGTAGGCATTCATATGCTCATTGGATTTCAGCCCATTTTCAGAAAACCAGCAAGAGCTATCTTGAATGACTGTCCTTCACTTCTCATCAAATTAAGTTGGGGTTTTTTTCCATATAAACATTTCTTACATAATCTCAGTTTAAAATCTTAAAATAAAATCAGTATGAAACAAGGAGTTCACATGGTAAACTTTCAGGTTTTCCTAACAGTGATTTATTCTGGCAAAATCATAGCAACCAAAATTGAAGTCTAGATCGTTATCATCTAAGCTGCTTATTCCAAGAGATACAGGTAGATTCGAACAGATTTGTAGCTTTTTGTTCACACGCAGTTAACAGTTTTACTCTCATTAAAGGGAATAGCTGCTAATCTCTAACCCTGTTGGAAAAACAGCAGTTTCCCTAACTTGTCTTTCACTAGTCCACCTGACTCTTCAGTAACTAAGAAAACAGACTGATCTCGCTGCCTCTGTAGTGAAGTAGAAAACACACTTATTCTGCAGGAGTCCTGTGCGCACTGTGAGACTTAGTGCTCTACTCTGACCTAGCTGGCAAATGTTCTTCTATGACAGTATCTGTATCATTCCATAGATGACTTCTGTCAAAGGAAAGTGATTAAAGATAAGAATCAATTGGCATGTCCCCGTTTCCACTTCAAGCCACATTAGTAACCTTTTCACTAGGAGCAGCGCTGGTAGAAGAGTGTTTGCAGGAATTCTGCATCACCAGAACTCTTTCTGTGGATCCTATATTTTCAATTGGCACTGCATTTGAATACCTGATAAAATTTTCAAGGATTTTTGGCCATTACACATAGACAAGGGGTTTAGCTATGGTAGTGTAGCACAGATAGCTTTTACAGACTTCCCTAAAAATACATGAAGTCAAATTTCACCCTCATAAACAAATGTACAACCTAGGGGAATGCCTCTGTGACTTTAAAAAATAGAAGTGCAGATGGGGGCCCGGGCATACTGATAATGATGTACAATAATGCTTAAGGGCTATAAATGATGTAATGATGTAAAAACTGTATTGTTCTTTAACATTCCTGGGTAGTGTACAGCTACGTCCATGCTAACAAGCATTGCAGTGAAAATGTAGGAAATCTAGGAAATCTGTTGAAAAAAAAACAGCTAGGGCTAAAACCTGTGGTAACTACCCCAGACACATCTTGGTGTACGTTGGTTTGATTTGATACTGATTTTAGGTTGGACTAGGAATACGCCTTGCAGTTTACTTTCACTCAAAGGGAACACGGTGAACCCTGAGACCAATCCTCAGCATGGTCTACACTATGGTAAAAGTAATGATGATCAGATGTGCTTCAAAAGCAGGCTTTTTATCTGAACTAAAGCACTAATGGAGGCCCCTTTTCTCAAAATTAGGAAGAGTTACAGCCTTGTGACTGCAGCATGTTTACAGTAATTGTGATGCAACTTCTAGGCACTAAAGTAATGCAGATGCAGATGCCCAATACCCATACTGTCATCTTCCTGAGGATAGAAATACACCAGTAGAAGAGAAATGCTTTTGAACTTTTAACAGATCTCCCTAATAAAAGAGGAAAATATTTTCTCCATATAAATACGCTCAAGGAAGATAATGCCTATTCCAGAAATACTTTTAGTGAGAAATTATTGAAAAGGTACTTAAATCTTGCCCTTCACTGGAAAGCACACATGGACTCATAATGATTATGCAGAGAAAAATTCTTACCCTGTTCAGCGGGTACATCTCATTACTATATCTCACTATTGCTAAAGGGAGCTGAGTCAGAAAGAAACAGCAGAGCTGGAAAATGTTGGAGCAAGTGAATCCCTGGATTTGATTTTTTGGCTGTGAGGATTATTAGCTTCAAGCATGAAATACCATGAGCTTCTAGGTTATCTTAATTGGACCAAAAGGAACCAATTCCACAGGACTGCAAAAGGATGCACAAAATTGCTGTCACTACTGTCTGATTTTTTCTTAGGAAAACGATTCTCCTGTCCAAAAAAGGTCATTTTCTCTTTTGCCAATTTATAAACTGCTTACAGTGCTCTTAAATAGTTAGAACCTAAAATGAAAGCAAACATCTTTATTAAAAACTCCCAGCAAGTAATTGTCATTCATAAACAGAATCCACAAAAACATCAAACTCTGCTCATGCATAATTTATCAATTGGAAAAAAAAAGTTAAATTCACTGAATATGTTCACCCTGCAATAGGTTACAGTGTGCCATGTTTCTCTTGCTTTCATTTTACTGGCTTTTTTTTTTTAAATCTCATTTCCATTCTTTGCACTTTTAAATCACAAAGTAATCTAAATGACAAATTGGTCTTACTCTCCATTTAAACACAGTGTAAATGAAGCACATTAATTCTCCATACCAAATGTAATCAATTTGTATAGATCTTCCCTGTCACTCCTGCCCTTCTATTATGCCATACAGTCAGCTGTCTTTACCTGACTAGAGGAAAACACATTTTTGAAATGTTGCCCCACACTAGTGGAATTTCATAATGGCCCAGGGAAAGCTTTCTCTTCATTTCTGCAAAAGTGATATGAATTTGTATGAGACCCAAAAGCAAACAACATTAGCAAAAGCACACTAAATATTTTATTTTGTCAACATTTCTTGTCCTTCTATTAATCTCCCATTATATGTGATAAATAGGATATCTAACTGTCTGAAGAGTTACAAGTAAGTGCTCCTCAGATGGCCTGTCAGTGCCACTCAAGATATGTGTCTGACAACATTAACTGCACTGAAGAAGTTCAAAGAACTAGAAACTGCATCTTAAGATATAGATTTCCTCCCACCCAACTAATGAAAAAGTCAAAGCTTTAAGGAACTAAACTCCATATAGAAAATATGCAAGTTTTAAGTATTTAGTGATGGGACCCTTAGAACCAAGGGTATCCTCTCACCCTTGCTTTCTAGTGGGAAGTGGTGCCATTTCACCTGTTTGCATTAAAAATAATAATAGGTTTTGAGAGAAAGAAGCAGAAGCTAGGACTCAGTTGTCCCCCAGATAAATGAGTCTAACCACAACAAAGACATGCTTGCCTTGCTTTGGCTCTCCTTGCATCCTTGTGAATCATGGAGAGCTTCCAAAAGAGACTGTATAACCAGAATTTCATATTGCTTCAAAGACTAATGAACCGCCAGACCATCATACAGAGGAGGATATTCCTCAAGAAGCAGGAGATTCCTATCAAAAAGTCACCTTGCAAAAATGGGATAGTAAGTAGCAGCCCCAGTTCTTTTGAAGGAAGGGGTGAGGAGAACACACAGGACAAGACTCAGAGACTTAGCTCCTAATGAACCTGTCATCCTGAGACCAGAAGGTATGCACTAACATCCCAGGTCAGAAACCCTCTTCAGCCAAACACTAAAAGCTGGAAGTAGAGCATTTTCCAGTTTACAGGGATTTTAGAGGGCTCTGGTTGGTATTTCAAGTCTACATATTCTGCACTACTGTTTATTCACAGGATCCAACATCATGGTTTCAGTATAAGTAGTTTAAATGAGTGTTAAATATCAGTGGTAGAATTTAAACCTATAAATATATCTATCAACTGTTCAACTTTCTCTTTTTTAACTCAAGGACTTGTTTCCTCCCAAGCAGCTTTCTGTCTGTTGATTGTGTGAGCACTCCTCTACCTGAATATTTCAGAATGTAAGTATTTTCATGTAAGATACTATCTTTTTGCAGGTTCTACTAATTAACATTATGAAAAAAAAAAACTGTTACAACACTTGATTTCCCAGAGAGAAACTACATAATCATATTGCTTCTTGTCATGTGCAATATACACTATTTCTTCCTATCTGTGATTGTGTTAGCATATAGAAATGCCCATTTTACTCTTTTCCAAAGTTTTTAATGGCCTTTAAATTTGCACACTAGCTTTTAAAAACTAAGTTTTGAAAATTATACTTGAAATAGATTCTGCAGATCTCATAAATCAATATCATCTTCTTTATTTCTTCTCCCCATCTCTACCTGTCTTCTGGCATGCTGTATTCTTCTAGTTACTTCTCAAATGAGGGCCTGCTATTACCTGACTGCATAAACAGTGATTCAGAGAGTTCAACAAAATCAAAAATCGACTTCCAATAAGCACTTTTTTCAAAGTGAGAAACTCTGCCTTATTTAAGTGCATGTGGTTTTGCTGAAATGACTGAATCAGTACTACAAAATTATTTTACACCAGAAGCCCAACTAGTCAAACAGAAAATATCTTTCAACTCTCCCATAAGATCACCATTAAGATTCTGTATATAATAATGGCCAGTCTTCGCGAGCGAAGATTTGGGAAAGGTCATTAACCCTTTGAGCCTGCGCAGTGGATTTTCACAAAGCACTTATGATGCACTAGTGGTAATAGCAACTAACCAATTTTCTTTCCTTAGTAATTCCCGTGTGAAAATCCATGGGACTAAATCCTCACAATCCATTCACTTTATCATGTCTCACACATAGCTGTTCCCTTCAGGGAGATTAGCCACACGCAGACGAAAGAAAGCTATTTCTGAGGCTGTGCCTCAAGCCACATTGCAAATTCCAGCATAAAGTATATATGAAGAAAATCTCAGACACAGGGCAATTTAGGAAAAGGGGTATCCAACTGTATGATTTAGAAAGCATATCCTGTGAATCTTAAAAAAAAAATAAATATATAATTATGTGCCAAAACAACTCAGCATCAGCAGAATTTATGTTGTCCCTAATCTCAGAAGCAGAAACCTTGCCTTCTAATGGATTCCAGAAGAAATCAGTAGTTCAGGGAAGAGATTGTAAAGACCATCATTGATGCCATGACATTGTTTCATCACTTTGAAAACAAAGAAACAGTGACAGTAGAAGGGCAAATGTTTCACATGAAGTGACTAAGAGGCTTACTTTAGACTAGCTGAAGAATATCATGCCATGGTACCATATCTGACTAATGTGCTTAAGCTGGAATTGGGTGTGTCCTACCACATTCCTGCTCATGTTGCTAAATGCAGATTGAAGAAACTGCTTACAGTAGTGTTCCACTGTCAACAATTGACACTGAGGAAATAAAGGGAAAAAAAAGTCTCTCCAAAAACTTAAAGACAAAATAACTGGCACCAAGATATGTTTAAGATCCCTGTTTCTCTGCTATTTCCACACAATCCCACTTAGGTGAGAGCCATTCCTCTCACCCAGTGTTGTCATACCTCCAAAAGATATGAACAGCTAGGATGAAAACAAATTTTCCACATCACAACCAGCTATGCTAATCCAGCCTTAGAATAAACATCAAAAGTCCTCTGACCTTTTTCTATTTCTCATGCAGAAAAATGGTGTCTCTATGCTCAACTACATTGACATGTAATTATTCTTTTTTGTTTGTTTGTTTCAGATGCGAGATCACGAATTTGAAGAAAAACTCACCACAGATCATGAATCAATTAGGTGCAACGACCTGTTCTGAAAACCAGAAACTACGGCCTATACTGAATTGGTAGTAATGCTGCCTAAACGAGCATATTAACACTGGTTGTTCAAAGCACATCTCCACTGATAGTGAGCCTGGGGGCTTTCAACTTTCTTCAGTTAAACATGTCTGCCTGAAAAGTTTGCATGCACACCCAAAAGGCTCATCCTTGAAAAAAAGCCTGACAAACAGTGCCTGAATAATTATAATAAAATTCAATGGGTCAAGAAGACAGATAAAAGACAAGTCCACTTTTCATCTCAAAGCAAAGTCAAAGTTTGGTGACTTGGCAACAGTTAGGATTAATCTACATGAGACAATTACAAAACTTTAATATCTATCTATTTATAGATATCACAAAACTTTAATATATATATATATATAACACTGTACAGTGAAGCCCATATAAAGACCCATGCTGAATATTTTTTTCAGGTTTTAGGTAGCTCAGATTCTTAATAATTATTAAAAGACCTGTTATACATGTCCTGTGTGTACTACATTGGATCTTCAATATGTGCAGGCTTGGTGGTTCAGAAATTTAAGACAACTCTGAAGTTTTTGAAGTAGTTATCTGTGCACACCTCTACACACCTCATACACTGCATATACATTTCAAGTAATATGGTTACCACTGTTGCTGTGAAGAGGTCCCAATCCAGCGGTCTGTTCCTGATATACAAGCTCATGTACAAAACCAGCTGGTCTTTACTCCTAAGAATCATAAATTATCATGACAGACAATGGTCAGACAATGGAAATGTATATTTATTTCTTGGTAAGCATAACAAGGAGCACATAGCACTAGCTGTATTAGTAATGGCTTATATCTTCTGCTATGAAAAAACACAAAGCCTGCAAGTTACCTTTTTTCTTTTTAGAACTAGGATCTTTGTATCGTGTTACGAGGTTAAAGTATACTGTGAAACTGCATGATGTGGCATCATGAACTTCCTCATCCTGACTGTGTTTACATTTCCACGCTAATTTCTTCCCAGAAGAGAAAAGTGAGAAGTTTTGGGTTAACATATGAAGAAACTAAGTCTGATTTACATTTTGTAGATGAGAGTCAATGCTGGTTCACAGATTTTGTGATGAAAAAAAAGAAATGCCCATTTCAGTTCTGTTAAACTTACGGGATGGTGCATTTTCATTTACCACTAAATTAAGTAATTCAAGACCTCCCAGCTGTGTACTCCAAATTTGGATGTTAGCTCAGAAGTGGCTAGCTTGCTCTCATTTCCAGAGTAAAATGCTCACCTTCTGGTTGCACGCTTCACACAAGGACATCAGAATGTCAGAAGCCTGAACTTCTGAACTAAAGAGAACTCTTGGTGTTGCTTTTCCTTTCCCAAAGCTTATTTTAATGCTTATGCTGCCCAATCATCCTTTTGTATCATTCCAATCCTTGTGATGGGTACTGACCTAACAGCCCCTACACATTCACAGCGTAGAGGTGGTTGGCACTGCAAAGTGCCATACAAATTATGTCACACCAGAGAGGATGTTTTGAAGGCACCATCCATCAGATTCCTGAGGGTAATGGCAACTTTAGAGGACACTGAATCAAGACCATAAATTTATTTCATATAAGTCAATGAAAAATGACAGATAGGGACCAAAGCTGGATTTGAACTGACCATCTAAGGAGGAAAAGCTCCATATCCCATTGTATTGAGCTATCTGGCACTCTGTTTCATTCTCTGCCTCTGGCTCAAGATTTAAAACACAGCAGTAGTCAGAAGACACAGTGGGTCCCTCTTCAAGAAGATAGATAAGAGGAAAGGAAAACATCTATTTCCCTTGTAGGACTGCTGTTTTTAAGTAAGAGAACTATGTCTTCAGATTGAGATATGCTAACTTTTCTGTAGCAAAGGTTCCTGTATTATTTCCTGTGGCCTGCCTAGCAGTTTATTACTAAGAAGCAGTGACAGAAAGCAGTCAAGAGAAGGTCACTCAGACCATGGCATTGAGAAATTCCTCTTAAGAATGTTAAATCTTTCTTATTAGAGACTAACCTGCACACTTCTAAGTCATCAGACCAGTCATCATAGAACACTGGAGGCTTCTGAACAGCATGAGGCACAGTGGGCCCTGCCCCAGCAGGTGCTCCATTATCTGGGACTGCCAGAGCATCACTGCCAGAGCCTGCCTCTGCAAAGGAGTCCTTCAAATCTTTACTGTGTCTAAAGAAACGTGCAGGCTGACGATCTCTGTGGTAGCTTTTCCCTTTGCTTTTCCCACATTTTTTTGAGGAAATCCTTGCTTCCTGAGATGATGCTGAAGACTGTGATTCCTTAAGCCTCGGAACCCTTCGGCGGTGGTTTAAAGTAGGATTCTCAGGGTCAGATACCTCTTGTTTCTTTTTTCCCACTGTCCCCAAGGTGACAAGTTCAACAGCATTATTGCTTGAGGACCCATCCTGGTTACTGCATGATCTATTGTTTCTTCTCCCTCTCCTGGCCAGTCTGGCCTTTTCTCTTGCTCTCCTCCTAGCCTGAGCCCACTGACTCTCATCCGAAGATGATGATGAATCAGATGCATTCCAGCTGGATCTCGGAGGCTCAGGATGCAGTTTACAGTCTTTCCCCTTTCCTTGCTTTTCTGTGTGCTCACCATTGTCTCCAGTTTCTCTTTTCCGCCTAAACCTTCGCTTTACGTGTTTCTTACCAGACTCCCTATTAGAAGGGGTCAGCACCATGACAGGGGTTGCATGTTCAAGCTCATCTTCTGACAAGTCATGCAAGGTAGTAGATCTAGACAAAGCAGTAAGCAAAGGAAAGGGATGGAAATGGTAAGGGTGGGTGGAAAGAGAGAAATCACAAAAAAAGGATGAAAATGAGAACATGAATTTTAATAGAAAAACATGAGAACAAAAGCAAAAACAAAACCAGAGAGATCAAAAGAAAACTAAAGTCTATGTAAATTATGAATAAAGTTAAGCAGAAGCAAGAGCTATACAATATTTAATAAAAACAAATAACAAGTATCAGCCATATTAGAGTATACTTTTCTCAGTACATACCTACAAATGTCCTGAGTGGAAGGGCAGACAGACAACCGTGACTGACTCCTGGGAGCTGTTCCTGTTGTAGGACTGCTTGCCTGTTGAAATAAGTTAGACAGTTTGGAATCTTTGTCCATGAAATACATTGCAGATATTTTACTGCTTTGCCACATGATAAAAAAATTAAAGTAACTGTTTCTGCTGTTCATAGCTCCCTGTTGAACATGTACAAGCTCACAAAATACAGGAAGTTTGAACAAAAGCGAAACCTATTTGTGGAACTAAGAATGACTGAAGTGTTTGAGCTCTCATTCGCTCATGACTACTTTTTGTCATTGTTTGAGGAAGCAGCTTTTAACATTTGAATTTTCATTTTGATCTACTGTAAATGTCTGATGGGAAAGGATATTGTTTTTATTTCATGCAATCAAACAACCATGATGATTCCTTTCAAAATGGCATGAAGTGCATTTGTATTATGCTAAGTGATGAAGAACCCAAACCTAACCTATGTTGGACTGAGCAAACAGTGAGAAAATTAAAGTGTGTTTTAAAAGGTTTTCAAGGCAATCAGATCTCCAAGAAGAGCTGAAAATGTTAAACTGACGAGCCTGAGAAGTCCAAAGTGCAGGCTGCATCTCTACAGAACTGATCACATTCTCAAACAGCAGGAGATATAAAACATATTTAGTGTGCAAAATTTTGCTCATAAGATTGTTGCTACAACTTGCAGATTCAGTTACTCAATACTTTCACTGAAAACATATTTTGATGGTGTTAACAGCAAACCATTTCAATCTGCCTCACCATCTACTGGCAGCAGAGCTGTATGGACATGTAAATCCAAGGCATTTTGTTTTTTCAGGATCCCTCATGAGACACAGTCTTGGGGGAAGAGGGTTCAACACAAATCATTGTTAAAGCTCTTACCTTCCCTTAGCTGATTAAGGGCATTAGCTTTCAGTATGAAACCTATCCTGTTGTAAGCATCACTACCAAATGCAGACAAAAAAACTACAAGGCTCAGAGTCCCACAAGATTGTGTACCAGATGCAAGGGATGACTAGTAAGCAAGAATAGAAATTACAAATCATACGAAGATGTAAAGGCTGTCATTGCAATCTCTTGTACTAGCAAATCAAATTCAGTCACATGTAGAGTCTGTAATTAAAATTATTTTTAGCTCAACTCTCACAGATATTTTTGTGGTGTCAAAAAGGTGTTTGAAAATTAGTAGTATGAGCAAAAATAATTACACAGAGCAAGTACCTGCTGACACTTCACTTTTATCCAGGGTTCTTAATATCCATTACATTTAATGCATACAGCTTTTGGAAACATCAGTCACCACTGTGTGCATTTTTGCTTTTGATTGGATACCAGTTGAGACTTAAGAATGGTGCTTTTGCATTAAAACAATCTTCTAGCTTTTGGAATTCAAGTAACCCTTTTTACCTATTGATTAATATCACAAAAATATACCAAAATCCACTAACAATATTACTAATTTTTCACTACCATGAATGAAACTTGGAGATACAAAAACAAAGCCAACTTGAGAAATTAAATTGATAAAGCATATGGACACAATGTTTTTGCAATGTCTGGAGGAACAAGGAGGAACATTAATGTTCCTCCATGCAGTCTAATGCTGGAAAAAAAGGACAAGTATCAGTGAGAGAAACTGTATTTCACATCTCCTTTTCTACAAAAGCAACATTTCAATCACATGTACTGTGACAGAGTATGGATTTTTCTTACATGCATATTAGAAACCTATGGTATATATATGGTTGGTATATAATCTTTTTCCACCTCAGCCTCTGTGATTAGTTTTATGTAATTAGGCATAGCTTAAGCTACTTAATGAGAAAGTATGTAGACATCATCACCAGAACCATGTTGTTGGGCTATATGCTGCTGCTGCTCCATGTGAAAAAATGTCCCTCCAGACTAAACCCCCAGAGAAGGACTGCTGAAGCAATCCAGCCCCAGAGTCAAGTGTGGACTCCCGAATTCATCTCTCATGATGAGCTCCCATTTCTTTTTTCCCCTCACAGCTGCAGGACTGTTAGCATTGCTTCTTTCAGGATCGCTGTACTACAGGGGTTTGGCTTGATCTTAAGTGGTGGTCAGGTCATCTCCATGCTGTAAAAGCTATTTTTATATCATCTTGCCACAAGCATCTTTTGAAGGGATAAGGAGAAT